TAAACAGACTAACTAAACTTAAAATTAAATTAAAATAATTAACTAAATTAAAACTTAACTAAATATGTCTAGTTAAGTTTGTACTTAATTTTTATTAGTAATTATTTTTTAATAATTTTTAGTAGGTGTGCCTTGTTTTGGTTAACAAATCCCTCTATTTTCGTGTCGATTGGATTTGTAAAAAAGATGGAAAAAAGAGGGATTTCCACACTGACATGTGTCATCATCTTGAACATCCCAACTATTTGGTATCGGCTACATAAATCATGTTCTGTCATTCCACTCTATCAAGGGACATACCCTCAGTCAAATTAGAAGTCAATATATCTCTTTTCTCTACTTCCATCCACATATTTTTGGCCTTCCCCATTCTTGTTTAGAGCCTTCCAGTTGAACTAAATCACCCTTCCTAACGGTGTTTTTCTAGGTCGACGCTGCACATGGAGGGACCATTTAGGTCTACTTTCCCTCATCTTATCGCCTATTGGAGCCGTCACTAAGTTTTCTCGGATATATTTATTTTAAATTCTATCCTTTCTTACCTTGTTACTTATCCATCCCAATATAAATATATATATATAAAAAAATAAAGCGAGAAGGGGATTCCCTTTCTTCTTGCAACTAGTGTCCTTTCTAATAATTATTTTATCTTATTTTTTTATTTATTCCAATTTTGTCCTTTTCCATGTATTCCAATATTTATTTTTTTCTTTTATCTTTCCTATGCACTTACTCTATCTCTAACCCTCTTTTATTTATCCTTTTATCATTATTTATATTATGATAAATATATGATAATGATAATAATAATAATAATAATCATCATCATCATCATTCGAGCCTCATCCCAAGGATTTGAGGTTGGCTAAATGAATCTTGTTTTGCTATTTTGCTTTATCAAGGTTCATACCCTCAGTTAGCTCATAAGTCACCATATCTCTTTTGACTACTTCCATCCATATCTTTTCAGACCTTCCCCTTGCCATTTTAGAGCCATCTACTTGAACCAAATCGCCCTTCCTAACGGGTGTCGTATGATTATAAAAATCATCAATGATTATAATACATATCATATTTATAATTACTAACATAATGATCATAAATATTTGTACAATACTATAGTGTAATTATAATTATACAATTGTAAATATTATTGATCCTAAATTATTTTTATTACAATATTATTATCATAATTATAATTAAATTTTTGTAATATGTCATCGAAAATTGTCATATTAAAACTAAAATTTTCATATTATAACTAATGTTGATTTCATATACAAATGTTATATAGAAATGTGATTTGTCATATATAATATTTAAATAAATGTTATTATAAAATGATAGTTATACAATACAATATTGTATAATATTTTTATTACAATAAACTAATACAAATATAATTACAATTAAATAATTTGTAATTAGAATTTAACTTCGTATTAATATTAACATATAACAATGACATATTACTATCTCTTATTGTTAAAATAATAATAATAATCAAATTATAATATTTGAATACATAGCATAATCATAATTTAAAATTGCATTTATAAATAATATAAAATATTTTTACTTATTTTTCTAAATTTTTTATTTTTTATTTTTTATAGTAATGCTTTCAATATAATAATATTATTTATAAGTATTACTTTATTAAATATAACTATATGTATTATAATATTATTAACAATTTATTAAAACTCTAATCAAATATTATTAATGTCATTTCATAAAGAGAGAGAATTGTTTTTCACCATAACATTTCTTTTAATAATTCTACCAATATTACATTATGTAGAACATTTCAATGAGACCTGTACGGAAGTAGTGAGAAAAGATATGAGACTTATGGCCTTACTGAGGAATTGGTTCTTAATATAGCAGAATGGCAGAGTAGGATTCGTGTAGCCAACCCCAATTAATTGGGAAAAGGCTTTGACAATGATATGTATAATCGTTGGAAATAATAGAATCTAGTTTTGAATAAATCCTCATCTATCTGTTGGCTCGAAATGACTTGGACCGATAGGGAAATCTCGATTCATTGGGCCTTTCGATACAATCAAATAGATTGCCACAAGGGCACCATATTCTAGGAGCCCAAACTATATGATTGAATAAATCCTCCTCTATCTGTTGCGGGTCGAGGGTTCCTTCTCCTTCTCCTTCTTCAAAGTCCGATTCGTATTTTTCATATAGAAATCTCTGGTCAACGATAGAACAAGATCCATTTTGCATCATATCTAACGGATTCCTTGCTTCGGACCGAAGAAGCAATGTCACTTGATCATTATCAAACTGACTGCGTCTTTTTCTGTCCGTGAGGATCCCACCGGAG